CCCCAAAACCCCAAAACCCCAAAACCCCAAAACCCCAACTTTTATAGTTATTAAAAAGTATGGAAATCTCCATTTTTCAATAAGTTTTCTCTAATATGATCCTCTGTTTTGTTAATGTTTAACGTTCTGTCTAGAAAAATGATGGAAGGACTCAGAGAACCACTAATCAACAGAAATTTTGAAAATGATGGGTATGGTAAGTTGCTGAGTTAAAGTCAATTTGATCTTAATTCAATACTATAGACAGAGCAGAGCTAAATCCTATTTCTGTAGAAAGAGAAAGCCTTGTTACAGAGGCAAAATTCAAACTAAATGCTTGTCTTATTGGTGCAGTTCTCGGCTTTATCATATGCGTTCTTTACTATGATATGCAATTATGAAGCAAGCAGATGATCATCTGGTTTCTTCTTTTTGCCATATTTTCTGTGTTTCACTGTGTATTCTTGGCAAGCTATATCTATTCTACAAATATTACCAGTTTGGTATACACTGTCTCAAATTATCCTTTAGACTTAGTCACAATTGGGTTATTCATTTACGGGATGATAATATACTCGAATTTGACAGAGGCATGTTCTCTTGAGTATCCATTTCCTTATTATATGATGCTGATTGTTCTGATTATCCAGCTTTCAACTTTCCTGAAATACATAGCTTGAGTAATATTGTTGATCTTGTGAACTCCTCTAATTGCCTACATTTTGATTAGAGAGTACATGAATAGACCTCAACCCGAGCAGTCATGGGAGGAATTTGAAAACGATGTTTTTGAAGAGTTAGAGCATAAAACACTCGTCTCAGAAATTCAGCAAAATTATGAGTCTTGATGTATCTGCCTCATTGAGTTTGAAAAGGAAGATAAAATTGTGATTCTCCCTTGAAATGATAGTCACCATTTCCACAAGAATTGCATCCGCGAGTGGCTTCGAAGACAAAGAAATTGTCCTCTTTGTAAGCAAACAGTTGAAATATAATACTCCTCAATTCAATAATATTGAAACTTTTAGGGGTTTTGGGGTTTTGGGGTTTTGGGGTTTTGGGGTTTTGGGG